ATTAATAACATTTATATTAAATTAAAAATTAATAACAATTTTGTGTAAGTTAATTAAAATTTATATAAGCCATTAAAGGAAACAAATAATGGATGGATGTTAATTATAATTACTCAAGAATATAGCAGTTTTCTCCTTTTTGGTTTCCTTTCCCTAATTAAAGAAGTGTATTATTGAGCTACTCCAAATATATTTTATATGTTTTGATAATTAATTGGGATTTGTGAGAAGTTTGGCTATATAATATTGAGTAAACAATAGTATTTAATAGAACACGATACCTTAAGAAGTCCATTACTGGTCCATTATTGGTGTACTTGAATTTAAACTGGTAGCATTCAGAAATTGTCTTAAATAGAAAACACTGCAATTATGCACCTAATATATAGTACTGGTTACCAAATTGCTATGTACTGTTTTTGTATGACTCGTACTATTAGTGAGCTCTGGTGGCCTAGTCCACAGCGAGTCATGCTGCTAATCCAAAGGCCACATCTCCTGGCAGTTTAAGTCCACCAGCAGTTCTAAGAAAGAAAGATGGGAAATTCCCTTCTGTTTAATTTATAGTTTTAAAAATTCAATGGTGGGTCAGCTATGACTTAGTTCTGACTCAATGGCAATGAAGTTTAAAAGTAACATTTATTAATAATTTTCTGTGCTATTTCATCTGTTGGTCCACTGTTTTTAATTATACCCCCTCAAAAATTTGTACCTCTAAAGGCAATAGTGTACTGAGTTATTCTTCATAGTATGTTCTAAGATATGCTCAATCAGTTGTGATTAGAGCAGAATGCAGCATCCTTAATTATTGGGTCACAGCTCTGATCTGATTTAAGGGCAGTTTCCCTGGGGCCTGTAACACCTTTTATCTCATTAGGGATTATCATGGATTGAATTGTGTCTCCCCCAAAATACATGCATGCAGTGATTGTTATTGTTATGGGCCATCAAGTTGCCTGTGGCCATAGTGACCCTATGTACAGCAGCTCTGAACCCTTCCGTCCTGAGCCAGTCTAACTCACACCAACCCCCACTGTCCCATTTACTATATCAATCCATCTCATCTGGGTTGTCTTCTTCTGAGCTGTCCCTCCAAACCTTGTGAGCCTGAAGTCCTTCTCCAAGGACCGGTCTCTTCTGGAACGTGCCCAAAGTATGTAATATAGAACTTCAAAATCCTATCCTCCAAGGAGAAATTTGGTTTCACCCTAAGACAAGACTTAATTGTTTTGTTGGCAGTCCAGTGTATATTCAAGACTCTTTTTCCAGTACAATTTGAAGGTATCAATTCTTCTTCTGTCATCCTTAAGTCATTGTCCATCTCTTTGGTGCATAGCAAGTAATTGCAAAGAGCATGGCCTGGATTAGGTGAGCCTTAGTCTCTAGACTGACATTGTTGCTTTTCAGTACTCTGGAGAGGTCCCTGCCAGCAGATTTTACACACACACAACACATAAGTACAACATAATTCACACACACACACACACACACACACACACACACACACACACACACACACACACACACCCCTGACTGGAATGTCCCCATTCCAAAGAAAGATGAGCCTACAGAGTGTGGAAATTATCGAACAATATCACTGATATCACATGCAAGCAAGATTCTGCTGAAGATCATGCAAAAACGACTGAAACAGCACATCAATAGAGAACTGCCTGAAGTGCAGGCTGGATTTAGAAGAGGCCATGGCACTAGAAATATTATAGCTAATTTCAGATGGACCTTGACTGAAAGCAGAAAGTATCAGAAGAATGTTTGTGTTTCATTGACTAGCAAAGGCATTTGACTGTGTGGATCACAACAAACTGTGGCTGACTTTCAGAAGACTGAGAATCTCAGAACACTTGATTGTGCTTACGTGAAACTTCTACTTGGACAAGGAGGCAGTCATCAGAACAGAGCAAGCAAACACTGCATGGTTCAAAATTGGAAAGGGTGTGTGTCAAGGATGTGTCCTATCTCCTTCTCTTTTCAATCTATATGTGGAAGAGATTATCCAGGAGGCTGGGCTCTATGAGAAGTGTGTCATCAGGAATGAAAGCAGACTTATCAACAATCTGCATTATGCAGATGACACAACCCTGCTTGCTGAAACTGAGGACCTTAAACGCTTGCTGCAGAAGGTCAAGGATTGCAGTCTTCAATATGGATTGATACTTAACATCAAGAAAACAAAGATTCTCACCACTGGGATGAATGGCAGCATCATGATAGATGGTGGAGAGATTGAGATTGTTGACAGCTTCAGTTTGTCTGGCTCTACAATCAACACTCGTGGTATCAGCAGCCAGGAAATTAAAAGAAGAATTGCATTGGGAAAGTCTACTGTCAGAGACCTCTCTAAGGTGCAGAAGAGCAATGATGTCAGTCTGGAGACTAAGGTGCATCTGATACAGACCATGGTCTTTGCCATTACTTGCTATGCATCAGAGAGCTGGACAATGACTAAGAATGATGGAAGGAGAGTTGAGGCCTTTGAGCTTTGGTTCTGGACAAGAGTACTGAATGTACCATGTCTGTTAGGAGAACAAATAAGTTCATTCTGGAGAGGGTGAAACCAGGCTGTTCCTTGGAGGCAAGGATCCCGAAGCTCCATCTGACATACTTTAGACATATTGCAAGGTGGGATTAGTCCTTGGAGAGGGACGTCATGCTTTGGAGTGTGGAGGGACAGTGCAGGAGAGAAAGACCCTGGATAAGATGGATTGATTCCATTACTGGGATAATGGGGATAGGTGTGTCAGACAAAATAAAAGACAGAGCAGGGTTTAGGGCTGTTTTACACAGGGTTGCTATGAGTCACAAGCGACTCAATAGCACGTAACAACAACAACTAGTTTATTTGCAAAATTCTAATACATTGTTTTTCACACCAATTCCTTCCCATTTCCCTCACCTCCCCACCTACCCAAACTGTGCAACCCCATGATTAATCCCGCCCATCCTCTCTCCCATCCTCACCTCTCTGCTTCCACCCTTTCCCTCTTAGATCCTCATTCCATAATAATGGTTTATACAGTGTTTGTCCTTATGAGACTGAGTTAACTCAGCATAATGCTCTCCAGTCTCTCCCAAGTTAGGTAATCATTTACAAAATTATTGCTCCTGCATGCTGTGTAGTATCCCATTGTGGGAATGTACCATAATTTCTCAATCCATTAGATTGTGGTTGGACATCTGGGCAGTTTCCATGTTCTTGCGATGGTGAGTAACACTGCTAAGAACATTGTTGTACAAGTCTCTGTTTCTGCCTCTGCTCTTTTTCTCAGGTTTTATTCCAAGCAGTGGAAGAGTTGGATCATATGGCATTTCTACATTCAGCTTTTTGAGAAAGCGCCAAACTGCCTTCCAGAGTGGTTGTACCATTGTACAGTCCCACCAACAATGTATAAGAGTTCCTATCGTATCATATTCTCTTCAACATTTATTACTTACTGTCCTGTTAAACTTTGCCACTGCTACTGGACTGAGATGGTATCTAATTGCTGACAGTAGATTTTACCAACACAATTCACCTTCTGATTCCCTGACTGCTGGTGGTAAGAGTGTTGATGAAATGATGTGAAAGCTATACAATAATCCTCCATGATCAGATAAACCAAACAGCTATAAAAGGGTGAAATGCAATGCTCCTTAATCTCAACACAGTCCTAATCATACCTAAGGAGCATTTTCCTCACATGCGCCCACAATACTTTTTGTCTCACTAGAAATAAAAGGAGAAGAAAGCAAGCTGAGATTAGGATTTCAGTACCATTAAGAACTGCCTGCACAACAATGTTTATCATTGGCTTTGTTTACAATAGCAGAGTTGGAAACAACCTAAGTGCCCATCAACAAATGAATGGATAGAGAAGCTGTGGTATATTCACCTAAGGGAATACTACGCTGCATTAAGAAACAAGGAACTTATGCAATATAGTATTCAAAATGGGTGACCCAAGAGGACATTATGCTGAGTGAAATATCTCAGTCACAAATCGACAAATACTGCATAGTGCCACTGTTGTAAAATGCGACTGATATCAGGGTTTAGGGGAGACTGAGAAAGATGGGATAAATTATGTATTTAAAAAAAAAAAGAAAGAACTGCCAGGAGTGGGTTGCATATTTATGGAATAAGTTCCCTTGACAATGATGAAGACATTGGAAAACCAGACCAATAGATACTGAAGGAACAAGGACTTTCCTCTAGAAGCAACAAAGAAAGAGCCTTTCCTTAGAACTGTTGTTGATATGTACTCTTGGAACCAATCTATAGCTGGCTGTCTAGCAGGTTTTCAATTGCAAAGGGGATGCCCATCTCTCTTCTGTGGAGCAGCTGGTGGATTTTGACTGTGTACCTTTCGGTTGCCAGTGCAATTCCTTACCATTAATACCAGAGTTCCCTTCTCCTAGAGCTGTCACCCTGAATTTGGCCTTCTAGGTTTCTAAACTGTAAGACAATACATTTCTATTTGTTACAATTATCCACTTGGTTATCTCAGTTGTAGCAGTTTTATATAAACAAGACCATTTTTAAGGGATTAATTCTCTCTCTCTTTTAAAGTTAGTTTAAATTTATTGTTCTTATAATTGGATGTATCTTTTCCAGCCACCTGGCCAGGTAGATAGCTATCTACCAAATTTCTTTGCATAGACAGCTGAGCACATCCATCCAGGGCTACATCTTTGATTGAAATGTGTTCATTGGTATCCCATCAATCTGTGGCCTTATTTTTTGCCAATGCCTTCAGTGCAGCTTAAACTTTCCTTGGTACAACTGGTTCTTGATCACACTTTTCCCCCCCTGAAACGGTTCAGTGTCGATCAATTCTTTCTGGTACAACGACTGTTTCATTCTTTCCATCTTCTTTTGCTATTCCTTGCATCATTCAAGATTTTGCCCATAGAATAATTCAGTATTTTAACCCAAGGCTTGAATTTATTTTTTAGTTCAGCTTGAGAATTACTGAGAGAGTTCTTCCCTTTTTATAACTCCAGCTCTTTGTGTATTTTGTTATAATACTTTGTGTTGTTTTCCTGAGTTAGTATTTGAAATCTGTTTTCAGCATTTCTTCCCTTTGTTTGGCTTTTTCAATGTTCCACTGCAATTTTCAGAGTCTTCTTTAATATTCATTGTTGTCCATCTAGAACAGTACATCAACAGAGATTCCAGAAATTCAAGCTGAATTCAGAAAAAGGCCATAGTACCAGGGATATCACTGCTGATGTCAGATGGATCTTTTTTTTAAAAAATATTTTATTTCATTATTTTTTATGTGTACTGTCAAATCAGATCTGACTGATACAGGAGGAGATTGTTCCTCCTTCTCCAGCAGATCATTTGGTGGATTTGAACCATGTACCTCTGAGATTGCAGTGCAGCTTCTTGCCACTAGGCTACCAGAGCTTGCCTGTCAGATGGATCTTGACTGAAAGCAGAGACTGATTACCAGAAGGATGTCTATTTGTGTTTTATTGACCACACAAAGGCATTTGACTATGTGGATCATAACAAATTGTGGCCAACAATGACAAGAATGGGATCCCAGAACACTTCTATCTTGACCAAGGAGCTATTATACAAACAGAGCCTGGGAGCAGTGCCTGATTTAAAATCAAGAAAGGCGAGCATCAATATCCTTTTACCATACCTATTCAATCTGTGTGCATAGCAAATCATTGGAGAAGTTGGGCTTTATTATGAAAAATGTGGCATCAGGATTGGAGGAAGACATATTAACAATCTTTGATATACACACAACACAACCTTGTTTGCTAAGGTGAGGACTTAAAAATGCTTGCTGTAGAAAAAGAACAAAGACTACAAACTTCAATATGAAGTAAATCTCAACAATAAGTAAACAAAAATCTTCACCACTGGGTCAACAGGCAACATCATGCCAGATGGACAGAAGACTGATGTTGAAAATGATTTGATCTTACTTGGATCTGCAATCAACACTCTTAGTATTAGCAGGCAAGAAATCAAAAGATGTGCTGCAATGGGGAAATTTATTATCCAAGAAGTCTCCAAGGTTCTGAATGTCACTGATGCCAGTTTAAAGACTAAGGTGTGCCTGATCCAAGCCACGGTCTTTTCAATTACTTATTATTAATCTGAAGATTGGACCGTGAATACGGATAACAGAAGAAGTGATGCCTTTGAATTGCGGTGTAAAAGAATAGTACTGAGTATTCCATCAATTGCCAAAAGAACAAACATGTCCTGGGGAAAGTGAAGGCAAGGAAGTGGAAACTTTGTTTCACACACTTTGGCTATGTTGTTAGGAGTGGCTAATCCTTGGGGAAAAACCCCCATGATGCTTGGAAAACTGGAGGGTCTTTGAGAGAGTAAGACCCTCAACAAGATGGATCATAGAGACTTTAGCAATGGCCTCAAATGTATTAGGGATAGTTAGGATGGCGCAGGATAGGGTAGGGTTCAAGTCTGTTGTTCATAGAGTTGCAGCAAAGAGCAACTAACAACAACAATAAAAACATAACTGAATGACGCTTTCTTGGAACAGCAAGAAAACAAAGATTCTCCCCACCGGGCCAATTGGCAGCATCATGACAGACAATGAAATGATTGTTAACAGCTTTAGTTTGTTTGACTGCACATGAACACTCTTGGTACTAACAGCCAGAAAATTAAAAGACAAATTGCATTGTGAAAGTCAGCTGTCAGAGACCTCTCCAAAGTACTGAAGAGCAATGATGTCATTCTGGAGACTAAGATGCACCTGATTCAGGCCATGGTCTTTACAATTACTTGCTATGCATCAAAAAGCTGGATAATGACTAGGGATGACTGAAGGAGAATTGATGCCTTTGAGCTGTGGTGGTAGAGAAAGTATTGAATATACCATGGACTAAGAGAACAAACAAGTTCATTCTGGATAGGGTGAAACCAGGCTGCTCCTTGGAGGCAATGTTTCTGAAGCTTCATCTGACATACTTTGGACTTGTTGTAAGGTGGGACCAGTCCTTGGAGAAGGACATCATGTTTGGGAAAGTGGAGCGACACTGCAGGAGAGGAAGACCCTGGATGAAATGGATTGACTCAGTGGCTGGGGTAATTGGGGTAGGTGTATCAGAGACAATAAGATTGGTACAGGATAGACCAGGGTATAGAGTTGTTGTACATAATCTCTATGAGTCACAGGTGACTCATTGGTACATAACAACAACAACAATGGTTAAGTAATCAGGTCATGAATTTGTCTTTCTAGGTTCAAGTCCTGATTCTGCCATTTCTGTCACTGTGACCTTAGGCAAAATACCTAGGAGTTAGGTTTTCTTATCTTATGTGGAAAAGAGAAAGGTAATAACATCCTCAAAACTGTAAGTGAATAAGATAATTTAAATAAAGCCATGAAGAATAGGGCTTAATATGTAGTAGCATGCAATAGCTCTTTCCAGCTAATCTTTCCTTCCTTGTCCTCATGTCTTTCTCTTAGTTATCAGATGAACGAGTTATTGTGACTACATTGGGATAGATAATTAAAGTGTAAGGATGAGTATTTTTTTTTTTAGTTTCTTCAAATTCAAGCTCTTTCAAAATTCTATAGAGGAATATTATATAGAAATAGATATTAGAAGACTTAGGTTATGTACAACAATTTCTACCCTGTGGTATATAATCTTTGTTGTAGTAAATGTTTTCTTTTTAAAGATAACATAAGCTTTACTTCAGAAGAGTTTTTATGAAGTTCAAATGTGGAAACATTAATTAAATTACACTAATAAAAGCACATACCCTTAAGACACAATTATAATTTTACATTATTTTTAGACAGTAGAGCCATTGTTCCTTTATAAATGGAAGTATACCTACCTGAGGATCTTCTGGATTGGTGTACACCTATTTTAAAATAATTTACAATTGAGTTAGTTAAGGCTATATACTCAAGAAGGGAGCTCTAGTGGGTTAGTGCATAGGGAGTTGTGTTGCTAGCCCAAAGACTCTGGCTTTTTTAATCTACATCGGAGAGTTGGACAGTGAATAGGGATGATAGAAAGAGAATTGATGTCTTTGAGTTGTGGTGCTGGAGAAGAATGTTGAATATACCATGGACTGCTAGGAGAACAAACAGGTTTGTCCTGGAGAGGGTGAAGCCAGAATGTTCCCTGGAGTCAAGGATTCTGAGGCTTTGTCTGACATACTTTGGGCATGTTGCAAGGAGGGACTGGTCCTTGGAGAGGGACATCATGTTTGGGAGAGTGGAGGGACGGCGCAGGAGAGGAAGACCCTCGATGAGATGGATCGATTCTGTGAGTGGAGTGGTGGGAATGACTGTGTTTGAGACAGCGAGGTTGGCACAGGATAGAATGGCATTTAGGGCTCTCGTACATAGCGTCGCTATGAGTGGCAAATGACTCGATGACATATAACAACAACAACAGTGGCACCAAGGGAGAAAAAAGGGATAAAATCTGCCCCTGGGATTTACAGTCTTGAAAAAAACCTAGTGGAGGGTCTGCCATGAGTCAGTTCTGACAAGACAATGAAAGAGTTTATGTATTCAAGAAGGATTAAATTAGGTTTTCAGCCTAAACTAACTCAACAAAGCAAAACAATTCCCCAAAATATTAGTTTACTTCTTACTATTAAATAGATTGCTGACTATTTGAATAAGTTAATGAATTTGAATTGAATAATCCATTCATGGTTTCAGTGTTAAGCAAGCCAGCCAGAGATTAAAGCCTTTAAAAAAAGGACATATTATTTTTAAATACTTACAGCTAGAACAACCATCCTTAGCTGAAATACAAAAAAGAACAAAATTTTTACTTATATTTTACTAAATATTTACTCACGATTAAGCATACAAATTTATCCTGCTTCAGTACTTATACCTAATAAGAATTACTATAGCAAGCAAGCTCTGTATCATGCATGCAAGATAATACTTTCAATTTATTTCCTTATTTCCCTGTGTATCTATTAATGTACTCTTATTTGACTTAGTGATAACTGAAATTCATGTCAATATTTTATTTCATTGACTTAAAAAACAGTATTAAAAGCAACAGGCAGAAAAAGAAATATTGTAAAACAACACAGTAAGCCTTATCAATGTGAGAACATGTTTGAGAAAGGGGGGAAAAAACCCAACAGAGTTCAGGGCTCTCAGCACTTTGGAAAGGAAAAAGACTGGAGTCTTTATGACCAGAAAGTCACAGGAAATCATGAAAAAATCCAAGTTATCCTTGTTTCTGATCTTTTCATTATACTCTACAACCATTCCATCAACCTGCTAAATAAATTCAGCTAGTAAATATATCCTAAATCCATTTACTTTTTTCCCTCACTACCATACTTCAGATTATCTTTTCAATATTAAGTGTAGGTATTTCTTTTAAAGCTTACCATATACTTTCCCCCCCGGGTTGTGTACTATCAAATCAGATCCAACTGGCAAAGGAGGAGATTGCCCCTCCTTCTTTAGTGGAGCATCTGGTGGATCTCACTACCATACTTGTCTAAAATACCAATACTTCTACTGAGGGTAATGATCTAAGTACTATTCTCCTTACTTCCAATTTTATTTCCTTCTACAGTATAGCACTCAGAGGGATTAAAAATATTTATTATAAATAAAATATTACCTCTACTTAAAAACTCAAAACATATTTTCTTTGCAACTAAAGTAAATTCCTTATCCATTTAGTCTTGAACATTCTGGCCCTAAGTTTCTAGGTCATCCTCTCCTACTGCTTATTGTGCATCAATCAAACTGTCAAAAGTTTCATCTTGTTTGGATCTACAATATTCTTGGAATTAGCAGTCAGGAAATAAGGTGACACATTGAACTAAGAAAGTCTGCAGTTAGGGACCCTTCCTAATTATTGAGTAGTAATGACGTCAATTTGAGGACTAAGGTGTGTCTAATTCAGGCCATAGTCTTTCCGATTACTAGTTATGCATCCGAGAGCTGGACAATAATAAGGATGACAGAAAAAGAATTGATGCCTTTGAGCATCAATGTTGAAGAAGAGCTCTGAACTCTCCATGGATGGCCAAGAGAACAATTAGATCTATCTTGGAGAGGGTGCAGCCAGAGTGCTCTTTGGAGGCAAGAATGATGAGACTTCGGCTTACATACTTTGGACATACTGGTAGGAGGTGCTATTTTTTGGAGAGGGACATGACGTAGGGAAAGGTGGAGGGTCGGTAAAGGAGAGGAAGACCCTCAACCAGGTGTACTGACACAGTGACTACTGCAATGGACTCTTGTGTGTCAGCAAGTGTGAGAAAGGCACAGGACAGGCCTAGGTTCAGTTTTTTGTTCATAGGGTTGCTATGAGTCATACTCAACTTGATGGCACCTAACAACAACATTAAAAAAACCTAGTCTAGGGGAGCTCTGGTGGCCTAGTGGCAAGAAGCTGCAACTACAATCCCAGAGGTGCACAGTTCGAATCCACCAGATGCTCTGCCGAGGAAGGAGGGGCAATCTCCTCCTGTACCAGTCAGATCTGATTTGACGGTACACGCACACAAAACTTAATTAAAAAAAACAAAAACCCTAGTCTACAGAAAGTCCTCATGAGCTAAAATGTCACTAATCCAGAGTTTGTGATAATTTATCTTAGATTGTATGCAAATTTATTTTTTAACTCTTTGAAGAAATAATTTATTAAACTAGTACTGTGTAGGAAAAGGATGGGCAATTTCCTCCCAAGCAATTATCTGCTTCTGAAAACCTGCTATGGGTTGGTTCTGACTCTATGGTACACAACAACAACAACAACAGTAGTGTAATACTGTAGAAGGCATGTGAAAGTTAGTGAATACATATTTTAAGACATTTAAAATAATTAATTTGATAAAGCAAATATGTTATTATTAAAAGTCTTTAATCAAGACTGCCTTGATAAAATTTGTTTCGTATTAATTTAATTAGCTTTAACTAAGTTAATTCTGTTGTTGTTACATGCCCTCGAGTCAAGCTCGACTCATCGTAACCTAAGAACAGATCTGAACCCTGTCTAATCCTGCGCCATCTTCATTATTTCTGACATACTCAAACCACTGCATCAGTCACTATGTTAGTTTTTGTGTTTATTTGGTTGGTTTTTATTTCTTTTTCCTTCTAATATTTTTTACTGGTTTGAATACAATCATTCATATACATTATGTTTCATGAATGTACATTGTGGTTTTTTTAGACAACCTTTCATCTGCACTGTGTTTCATTCATACACATTGTGTTTTAAACATTAATAAACATTGTATTTACTTTCATAATTATTGATCTATGCCAATTATTAGGCCATCTTTTAAATTTTAGTATTTGTAAGCTTTTGAGTCGGATGACCATATGATATATTACTCTGGAGATGAAAAAGTGAGGAAAAATGGAGTTGCTTTCATAGTTAAAAAAGCCATTGCTAGATCTATCTTGAAGTACAATATTGTCAGTGACAGGATAATATCTATACGCATACAAGGAAGTCCAGTGAATACCACTATCATTCA